TTGGTTTTGATTGCTTCCATTGTCCTCATTTGTAAGTCGCTTTGGATAAAAGCGTCTTCTAAATGACTAAATGTAAATGTATTAATAAACAAGAAGACTATTTACCATCTAGGTCAGCAGTCCTGCTCAAACACACATGGGCTGTTTGTGCTGGTAAAGATGAGGTTACTTACTCGCCTTTGATTTTCCCCGTCACATACGCGGCTCTCCACATGTGGCCCTGCAGCTGTTTCAGCGCAGTGCTCTTTCTGTCCGCAGCCATCTGCCACAGCACGCTATCCACCACCTCCCGGATGGCCTTCTCCTCATCTGTGTGAACCGTCTGGTCCACAGCATGAACGGGACACGCTTTATTCTGCCGCAAGTCTTCTTCAGCCTGAAACACACACGGGGTACCCATACACCCATATTACAAAATATAACATTAAAACTGTATAAATCGCTTGCTTTTCTAAAGAAACGTAGGCAGGTAAAGTTACAGCAGAAGTCCGCGTCTCTCTTGCCTCCCCTGAGCCCACTGAGTTTTAAGAGAACCCCCAAAACAATGTGCCGTGACTTTAGTGGGGGGTAACTGAGAATTAATGGGGGAAAGTCAAGTGAGAGGAGGCAATGCACTCGACTGTGGCATAATAAAAGCTCCGCTGCTTTACCCCACATACGCACGACCGGAAGCAGCGGAAGCGCTCGACTGTGGCATAATAAAAGCTCCGCTGCTTTACCCCACATACGCACGACCGGAAGCAGCGGAAGCGCTCGACTGCGGCATAATAAAAGCTCCGCTGCTTTACCCCACATACGCACGACCGGAAGCAGCGGAAGCGGTCGACTGTGGCATAATAAAAGCTCCGCTGATTTCCAGCCGTGTGTCACGCTCGTTCAGCGCCTCGTTCCGCTTCGGCGGCTTTCAGCCTCACCCTGCTTCATTCTACTACGTTAATAAATCATTAGCTCATCCATGAACATGATTTCTGCCCGAGTCCCGTCGGATTGCATCGGCTGTGGGGATGAAGACCACAACTCCCATGATTCCACACTCAGTCAGGCATCATCAAACTATGCCTTTGCTTCTTTGTTTGTTTTGAATACGCGCCCTCTAGCGGCGAAAATTACATATTGTGCCTTTAACCAAGACAATGTGACCGGGACATTAATTTACATTTGATTAAAAAAAAAAAACGTTGCTTCCTCATTTCATAACACCACTGATTTACATGCATTTTGTTTTTCCAAGAATAACATTGTTTAACCATGTTTTACCACCACAGATTAAAGCGTTTGTCAATATATCTTGAGAAGGACTAAAAGGATTTGAAGCGTTTGTATAATACTTCCCTTAATGTAAAGCGAATAATAACAAAAAGGTACACCCCTTTTGTGGTACAAATGAAAATAACGTTTAAAAACAGTGACTACCTATTTACATGTGAAAATAAGTTGGCCAAAGCGCATAAACGGTGTGTTTTGAAAGGTGTTGACCTGTTTCTTGAGCAGATGAACGTCTTGTTTGCATTCATCCTCTTCCCAGTGAGCAGACAGATATTCCTCCAGATTCTCTCTGATGTAGGGAAATAAGATGTCCTGCACACAATAAACCATCGGACTGGTTCTCCTCGCACATAATGAATTCATTTCTATGCTCTATTATCTCTGTGAGCTCTTACCTTGACAAACGTGATGGGCGTCGTGGTTCCTTCAATGTCCAGAAGAAAGACTCTGGTATTTACTGGGACTGCAATCGCTGCCATTTCTATCAATGGCGAACGATTTATATGTTTGTTAAAGTCCTGTGTTTGGTTTGATTATATCAGATGAGAAGCTCAGCTTTTGACAAACGAATCAACAACAGCATGCAGGCTAGTGCTGAGCTAACACATGGAGCGGCTGCGGGTCGCACAGAAGTCCCCGCCCTCTGTTATCAGTGTAATTAATGCTAACTTTACATTGGCACACTTCATTTATCTATTTGCTATTTTTTAAAATATGTATGTACATTTTGTATGATACGTTATCATATACAACAGCTTTACAGTTATATTTAATATACTTGTAATAGGCATCAGAAGGTGATAATAAGTTTATAAAATATTAGATTGAAGTTCTACACACTTTTTGAGGTGGTAAAAATGTTTTGTGCATACAATTATTTATTTAGTAATTTAATAGGCGTGTAGCCGCATTTTTTTTAAATCTGGCAACACGGTTGGGAAAGGCTGTTGAGTAAGGAAGTACATTCACATTTAGACATTTAGCAGACGCTTTTATCCAAATAATAATAAATGTACAATTAAAGTGAATGTGATAAGTAAAGGCTGCATATAAATAAAATACCCATTGTTTGAAATTCATGAATTCGTGTACTTATTTGGTAGTTGTGTGAGTGTGTGTGTGTGTGAGTGTGTGTACAGGTATATATGGTTTATGAGGACACAAATGTGTATAATGACATGGGTACTACAACGTAAACATGGTTTATGAGGACACTTCCTGTGTCCCCGTAAAACAAACGGCTTAAAAAACATACAAAACGGTGTTTTATTAAATTCAAAAATTGCCAGCAGTTTCCTGTGAGGGGTAGGTTTAGGGGTAAGACGGATTTCGTCACTGATCTCCGTCCGCCATTTTAATCAACGCGGCACTTTATTCGTGTTGAAGTCTTTGACCTTTTAAATCCACAGCAATACAATCAGTTACGTAGCAGGCGTCGGACCAAACTACACACACTCCAAAATGCAGGCCGAAGAGCAAGGTGACTTCAGCACCGACGAGTTTCCAGAAGGCTCCAAGATAAACGCGAGTAAAAACCTGCAGGACGACGGGTGAGTCCGGAGCGAGGCCCGCGCGACACAACAACAGCAGCTTAACATGTAGAAACAATCTTCTTGTCGATCATTCACTTCCATGTGTGGAACGCTTATATTATTAATATGCACAATATTAAACTGCATAACATCGAGCTCAAGATGCTCGAAACCTAGTAACGTTAGTTAATCCGTTTGCGTACCAGCATATCAGCGTTTAGTTTGGGCATTGAAAAAAAGCTACCAATGAGGTTTAATTACCAAAAACAATACTTCATAGTTTATTCTGTTGCATTTCTTACATGCATCACCAGCAAATGTGTGTATAATACCAGCAGTTGCGTGTTAGTGCATCAATTATTCAGTGGTGTGATTTGAATGCTGTTTATTTTTGTGTAGGAAAATGTTCATCGGTGGACTCAGTTGGGACACCAGCAAGAAAGACCTTACGGACTACCTGTCCAAGTTTGGAGAGGTCCTTGACTGCACCATCAAAACAGACCCCATGACGGGCCGCTCCAGGGTAAGGATAACTGGGTCATTGCAAAAAAACAAACAAAAAAAACAACAAAAAACACATTGTGATTAGATGTCTCTTTTATTATAACAACGTGTGTTTTTTTCTTCGGAAATATTAGCGTAAGCCCCGCCCATCCTCCCCTTCCTCGTGCAGACGGATTTCGTCACTGATCTCCGTCCGCCATTTTAATCAACGCGGCACTTTATTCGTGTTGAAGTCTTTGACCTTTTAAATCCACAGCAATACAATCAGTTACGTAGCAGGCGTCGGACCAAACTACACACACTCCAAAATGCAGGCCGAAGAGCAAGGTGACTTCAGCACCGACGAGTTTCCAGAAGGCTCCAAGATAAACGCGAGTAAAAACCTGCAGGACGACGGGTGAGTCCGGAGCGAGGCCCGCGCGACACAACAACAGCAGCTTAACATGTAGAAACAATCTTCTTGTCGATCATTCACTTCCATGTGTGGAACGCTTATATTATTAATATGCACAATATTAAACTGCATAACATCGAGCTCAAGATGCTCGAAACCTAGTAACGTTAGTTAATCCGTTTGCGTACCAGCATATCAGCGTTTAGTTTGGGCATTGAAAAAAAGCTACCAATGAGGTTTAATTACCAAAAACAATACTTCATAGTTTATTCTGTTGCATTTCTTACATGCATCACCAGCAAATGTGTGTATAATACCAGCAGTTGCGTGTTAGTGCATCAATTATTCAGTGGTGTGATTTGAATGCTGTTTATTTTTGTGTAGGAAAATGTTCATCGGTGGACTCAGTTGGGACACCAGCAAGAAAGACCTTACTGACTACCTGTCCAAGTTTGGAGAGGTCCTTGACTGCACCATCAAAACAGACCCCATGACGGGCCGCTCCAGGGGCTTCGGCTTCGTTCTCTTCAGAGACGCTGAGAGCGTCGATAGGGTAAGTGTTCCCCTCAGTCTTTACGCTTAGTGATAACATCCTTGAGGCAGCATTCATAGCAGGCTCTTGATGTGTTTAGGTGCTAGAGCTGAAGGAGCACAAGCTGGATGGGAAACTGATCGATCCCAAGAGAGCCAAAGCCATGAAGGGCAAGGAGCCGCCCAAGAAGGTGTTCGTCGGCGGTCTGAGTCCAGACACGTCTGAGGAGCAGATCCGGGAGTACTTTGGAGCTTATGGGGAAGTGAGTATCTCAAATTAAGGTCTAATTGTTTGGAAGTATCACCACACCGGTGCGTCTAAACTAACCTGTGTATTTTTCTCTGAAAAGATTGAAAACATTGAGCTGCCCATGGACACCAAAACAAGCGAAAGGCGGGGATTCTGCTTCGTGACGTACGTTTTAGAGGATCCCGTTCAGCAGCTGCTGGAGAACAGATACCATCAAATCGGATCAGGGAAGGTATGTTGGATGTTATCGTGATATTATGTTTGACAGACACGCGTACCTCGATCTGTATTAATAAAACGGATCATAGTAGGCAAATCATCCATCTTAGTATTGTCTTATATTTACACGACCATTTGGGGTCAGTAAGGTTGCTTTTTTTCTTTTTTTAAATCGCGTTACGATTTGATGGCTGTGTTAAAAAGATGGTTTTATGCTGTCACTCTTTATTACGGTGAGTAAAGCAATACTTTGCCCAAGCCTACATGTGAGTAATGCTGTTAATCTTTGTTGCCAGTGTGAAGTCAAAGTTGCCCAGCCTAAAGAAGTTTACAGACAGCAGCAGGGCAGAGCGGACCGGGGCTTTGGAGGAGGACGAGGAGGCGGCTTCAGGGGCCGTGGAAGAGGTTTGCAAATCTAGAGATTGCTGCTGTCTTTTATTCCAGTGGTTCTGGACTGAAAGTGCTCCTCTGACTCTGTGAACAGGACAGGGCCAGGGCTATAATCAAGGATACAACAGCTACTACGGCCAGAACTATGGAGGCTACGGCGACGGATACAACCAGGGCTATAACGGCTATTCTGGCTATGACTATTCGGGATACAACTATCCGAATTATGGCTATGGACAAGGCTATGATGATTACAGTGGTAATTTTACACAGTTTCTTATTGAACATTTAACCTTCAGAGACCCAAGCCTTGATATTCATGATGTATTGTTTTTTTCCACCCTTTAGGAAGCCATTAGTTATAAAAATCCATTCAGTTTAGGCAAAAATTTACATTGGAGCATAATTTGGCAAAATTGCACCATTTTTTTTATTTTTTATACCAAGTTGAAGTCAGTACAATTAAGCACACAGGTATTTAGAAGAATAATTTATTCAACCAGTATAAGGATACAGTTGTAACAAAATGTTAATTATTTAAGTACTATTAAGTATTATTAAACCGTTTGAATAGTGTATTCATTTTAATATCACTTTATATATGAAGAGTTAATTTGCAAAAACCGATAAACGCCACTTAAAAAAAAAAAAAAAAAAGAGTGATTGCCG